TAGGTTTGTATTGGCTTGGGTGCAAAACAAATGCCTAAGAATTTTTCATCCTGTTATCCTATCGGAAAATAAAATTACTTCGGAGAAATAAAAAAAAAATAATGCATAATTGCTTGTCTTGCATAATCATCTTATTTCTTTCTTTCTTTTTTTACATAAATATTCTAATAAATCAGCATGGTAAGGGGTTTGAGTCTTTAAATGAGCAAAATGAGTATGTGAATAGTGTATATGAGAGATAAAATAATAATAATAATTCAGTTTCAATTTCAAGATACCAATATGGTGCTCTAAATATGGCATAAATGTATTTGTCATTCAAATATTGCTTCAAAAACTTCCTCTTGAACTCCAACTATTTATCCTAAACAAATTAAAGGTTAAAGTGCAAAAAACTCTCAATATTTTGTCTTCGTCAATGGAGAAGTGTTTTATGAAAAAAAAAAAAAAAAAAAAAAAAAGAAAAAGAAAAAAAGAAAAGTGGTTAATGCAATCCTTACATTGGACTTAATGTGCTTCGTCCATCTCCCTACACAGTAGTACACTACATATTATTTTATCATGAACAGAAACCAGAGTAATGATGCAAGACAAGACATGGTACGTCAATCAACGACATTTAATTGTCTTAATCACGTATTCTATAATCTAGAGATAACTTGTGTTGTAAAAATGCCTGTAAGAAGAAAATGGAACTAGCAAATTTTATTTTATTTTATTATATAAATATATATATTTTTTCATTCACAATATTTCTCCTAACTTAACTCAAATTCTTAACTTCAAACATCAACTTTAACTGTAACCTCAACCTCCCTTTGAAAAAGGAGAAATTATATTATAATAAGGAAAATGCCCGTTAGTGACACTAGCCCTGTTAATATCCATTAATTGTAAGACAAAAAGTCTGGATTTTAGGTTTGTATTGGCTTGAGTGCAAAACAAATGTCTAGGAATTTTTCATCCTGTTATCCTATTGGAAAATAAAATTACTTCGGAGAAATAAAAAAAAATAATGCATAATTGCTGTTCTTGCATAACCATCTTATTTCTTTCTTTCTTTTTTTACATAAATATTCTAATAAATCAGCATAGTAAGGGATTTGAGTCTTTAAATGAGCAAAATGGTATGTGAATAGTGTATGTGAGAGATAAAATAATAATAATAATTCAGTTTCAATTTCAAGATACCAATATGGTGCTCTAAATATGGCATAAATGTATTTATCATTCAAATATTGCTTCAAAAACTTCCTCTAGAACTCCACCTATTTATCCTAAACAAATTAAAGGTTGAAGTGCAAAAAACTCTCCAGAAGTATTACTCTTTTGCAAATAACACCCTAAATAACAAATTGCCTTCTTGAAGTATTTAATTTGTTACAATTAAGGATAAACTCATCACAAAAGATTATTTTATCATTTCTCATTAAATTTCTCTTTTCTTATTAAATTATTTTTATTATCTTTTCTATTATCTAAATATTAATTATAACATTTACGTTAATTTTATTATTAGTATCAATTTATCATAAAATAAAAAATAAAAAAACATTTGTAACTAACATTTTTTGAAATGATTTACTTATTATTAAAAATTTATTATTATTAATAAAACTTATTATACTCATTGTAAACTTTTTTATCATAAAAAAATAACTATTTGATGGAGAATATGTCATTAAATTAGTATGATATTTTTCATAATTTATTTCAATAAGAAAAATAGATTAAGTATAATTAAAAAAGAAAAGGCATTATGGTCATTCAATAAAAAATAGTCAAGGATATAGACATTTTCTAACTAAATGTTATAGTTTAAGAGTATTATGTATAAAATATATATTTATAAATTCAAACCCAATTGAGAGTTATTTTTGCACTTTACCTCAAACTGAATGACCAATACCATCTTGTATCATCTCTTGAGTACCTTTGTCTCTCCTTCCTTTGTACATGTTCTCTTCATATGTTTCTCTACTTTAAATCGAAAGAGAACTCAATAATGTCTCTTAGCATTAATGCAATGTCTCTTAGCATTAATGCTCATAAGTTGTTCTTTATTTTGACAATTAAGAGGTTTCTTGGTTTGTAATTTTAAAAATAGTTCTCAATAATTCAGAGGACGGAAAATAGTTTTTAGAGAATAATAAAATACAGTTATTAGAAAACAGACATTTTTATAACTTAGTTTTGAGAAAAACAGTTTTCAAAAAATTGAACCAAGCAGAATTTTTTATACAGTTTTCTGAAAAGGCCTTAAATTTTTTCCCTATACGGATTAAAATGAAAAAATTAAATAAATAAATTATCTTTTTCTAGTATAATATTAAAGGACTCCCACATCTTTTTTTTGTTCCAATTTTTTAGGTACCCATCTGGAATGAAGTTAATTAGATATTTGACCAACAACGACTTATGACGGTTTACTAATGACCAATAAAAAAACCTTTGAATGTATAGAATTAAAGAAAGGATAATTTTGAAATATTATTAATAATAATAAATAAATAAATAAATATTCTCTTATAGTATATGTATTTTTAATGGTAGAGAAAACTTAACCTTATAAGGATGCCTATAAAGTCAAATATGGCACTATTACTAAAAAAAAAAAAAAAAAAAAAAAAAAAAAAAAAAAAAAACTATATAATGATTATCACTACAAATACTAAGGGCTTTGTGATCTAATGGTATCTTTTCTACTTTTTAAAGTAGATGGTAATGTTTCGAATCTTCAAAAGAGCAAAATAAATATATGAATGATTTGTGTATTTCGTGCCTGTAAAAAAATACTATATATAACTAAAATTTAATAAATACCACAAAGTAGCTCAATTTGAAGTATAATTTGATCACTAAAACCAATCTCAAAATATTCAACAGTGATAGAGTTTGAGAGAGAGAAATAGCCCATAATAGAGTTTTCAGTACACACATTAAAAGATCTTGAAGACAAATTCCCCCATTAGATGATACAACAATTTTATTTATTTATTTATTTTATTTTTATATTGGCAAGAAACACAATTAGGCACTCACTAGCTCACACACACTTTTTACTTACACTTAGCTCAAATTCCTCCCCCCCTCATTAAGGATGAAGAGTTTATATGTAATACCCCGTAAATTATTATTATTATTATTATTATATATATATATATATATATATATATATATTTATTTATTTATTTATTGATGCATATTGTTATATAGGAGTTATCTTTTAAAACAAAAAAAGGATAAATAGGTGATTATATTTAAAAGGGGATAACAGAGTTATCATTTAATTTACTTTGAAAATTAAAAGAGGTCTTATTGAACTCAACTATTAGATATATATATATGGATATATCTAGACTTAGTCGTGTATTCAGTTTTTTTTTTTATCTACGTTGCTATCCCGAGGATTATTCGTTGTGGTGGAGCAAAGAAAAGCTCAAGTGGTGATTGCAATTCAGGCAAGTTAATTCTTCTTATAACTCTGTATTTATTTATGTTTTAATGGTTAGATTATTAAATATGATTTAATTGTATAACTCATGATAATTATTTCTAATTAGAGATATGGAGATTATACAAGGAGTTATTGAGTGATTAGGAATTTTATTTGATTCATTATTTCTTTTTGTTTAATTGGTGTTGCAGAGTAATATAGATTTATGCTGATAGATTGTGGGGTTATATAAAGGAAATTTAGTAATTGGGGTTAATGATAGTTTTTGTTTTTAGTGTTAATTTAGTAAAGGAGATATGAAAGAATAAGGCAAGGACTCCGTAGAAGCCTGAAAGGTGGAGAAAAGAATTGGAATAAATAATGGTATCAGAGCCTGACCCAGCCGGAAGTGTGCCGACGAGGACGTTGGGCCTCCAAGGGGGGTGGATTGTGATGACCTTGTGGGTGGGTGTGCCGTGGGCGGGTGCGAGAGACACTCTCAGGCTACCACACTGGCGAGCTACAGGTGCACAATCCCACATCGCCTGGGTAGAGGAAAGGTGAAGTGCTTATATGTAAGTGTGTCACCTCCAATTGGTATGAGGCCCAAAGCGGATAATATCATACCATGTGGTGGAGTGGGTCGTTACAAATGGTATCAGAGCCTGACCCAGCCGGAAGTGTGCCGACGGGGACGTCGGGCCTCCAAGGGGGTGGATTATGATGACCTTGTGGGCGGGTGTGCCGTGGGCGGGTGCGAGAGACACTGTCAGGCTATCACACTGGCGAGCTACGGGTGCACAAGTCCCACATCGCCTGGGTAGAGGAAAGGTGAAGTGCTTATATGTAAGTGCATTATCTCCAATTAGTATGAGGCCTTTTGGGGTGAAACCCAAGAGCAAAACCGTGCGGGCTCAGGCCCAAAGCAGACAATATCATACCATGTGGTGGAGTGGGTCATTACAAATGGTATCAGAGCCTGACTCAGCCGGAAGTGTGCCGACGGGGACGTCGGGCCTCCAAGGGGGTGGATTATGATGACCTTGTGGGCGGGTGCGAGAGACACTGTCAGGCTACCACACTGGCGAGCTACGGGTGCACAAGTCCCACATCGCCTGGGTAGAGGAAAGGTGAAGTGCTTATATGTAAGTACATTATCTCCAATTAGTATGAGGCCTTTTGGGGTGAAACCCAAGAACAAAACCGTGCAGGCTCAGACCCAAAGCGGACAATATCATATCATGTGATGGAGTGGGTCGTTACATTATACCACTGAGATACATGTCCTTTGGTAGAGAACACAACATTCATATTGTAATTAAATAGCACTGTCTTCTCTTTGATAGATGAATTATTTTACTTGTGCACTCAACTTAGATGCACATTCAGAATTGACATCATTAAGACAACTTAAACGCTCAACCTTCCCTACGAAATAAGAAGAAGATACCACTTGAGATCAGGGATGTGATTGATTGGTCATCATAGTTGAATGAATTGAAATAGAAATTCATATCTCAAATGATTTGACTTTGAATCAAGGAATTAATTTGATGTAAAAAATTCAACAAGGATTCAAGTGATGAGGGGCGCTCCGGATACTCGTTGCTTGGGTGGTGCCATTCTTCACAATTAGAACTGTGTCCATGCCCCAGCTAGCATGTCTTTCCAAGTGACAGTGCATGAACCACACCCCTAAATCAAACAAAGTAAACTCAATTAAATACACAGGATTAATTCATATTTATGGTCAACCCATTAGTATTTATGGTCAACTCTAACCCTAAGAGCTTATTTGACAACTACTTTTGCTTCTTGCTTTTGTTTGAAGTCGAAATATCAGAAAAGTTTATGCTTTGAAGTATGTTTAATAGTAATCAAAACTATATTTGATAACGTTATAATTTTTGCAAGATTTTTGGAAGCAAATATCTGAAAACATGATTGGTAAAAAAGTGTTACAAGTTTAAAAAATAAAATGACTAGTTAAAAATGTTGTTGTTGTTTCTTCAAACTAATCGGAAACACCAATTTGGTACTTTCGATTTTGGCTTTTTTTCGACAACATTTTGAATCAATACTATTCAAATCGCAAAATACATAACCAAACACGCTTCGGTGTTTTGGTTCACTGCAATACAATGTCCAAGAAAAAAAACAGAAAGCACGAAGTAGAAGCCAAGGTCAAACAGGCCTAAGAAGTTGAAAATTTGCTTTCTTTGTTTTTGTTAAGTAGTTAATGCTTTCTGTTACTCATCTGTATAGTCATATATATGAAATGAAACTATATCTCCCAAAAATTAGTGCATATCCTAATATCTGTACAAACATAAATATATATATATATATATATATATATACCTGGATTATCAGCTTTAAATCTGATCGCTGCCCATCCTTTGGTGGGAATTCCCATTGTATTCAATTCAGGTGGATCAACCAAATTATATCCTTTAGGGTGAGTGTTTTTGTCAAAATTTCCAAAGCCCATTCCCACCACATAAAAGCTATATCCATGTAGATGCATTGGATGATTCTCAGCTGCATTCAACACATTAGTCCCCTGGAACACTATCTCCACATTCCAGTTATATTCCAAAACTCTCACCTTGGTTGCCCTCTCAGGTATCAATGCATTTTCCGGGGTCTCATCCGCCGTGAAGTTGAAAACGTTAGGCTCACTCGGAAAGTCCGTCGTGAAAATCCCTCTAATCTTCCTGTAGTAGGCTTGCAATATATCCATTTTTGGCTCCGAAAAACTTACGTTGTTCAAGCTGGATGCAAGCCTCGAACCATTGGGTCCATCACAGGAATTGTTAGCACATGGTATGGTATTCATAGAAATAGTTATAACGAGTCGTTTATGGACTGATTTTGGGACATCTATGGGGTGCTCCTTGCTGGCTAGAGCCCTAATACGTTGCGTGAAACTTGTGACAGCGTCAACGTCGCTATAATTAGGTAGATTTGGAAATGAAGGTGTTGATGGGACCGTATAGTTGCCACTGTATTTAATTATGGCGGTTGTGGTGGTGTTATCATATACAGTTTCACCAAATGCTCTTCCTGCTATGTAATAGTGACTTGGGGATTGATTTGCAGTGAGTAGAACATCCATGGTCTGTCCCGGGGTTATCATGACGTAGCTGGTTTTTATAGGTTTTATGTAGGCACCATCCATTCCCACAACTGTGAAGTTGTGCTGAGCTATCATCAAGAACATTTCCTCGTTCATAATCGAATTGATGACGCGAAGAAGATAGGTCTTGCCATGATCAACCATTATATTGGATGTCTCTGCAACATATATATATATATAAGCGTCACGTACACCTAACTACAACTTATGTAATTCAAAATAGGAAAATGATACTTAGGCTTGTCATTCTAGCCGAATTGTTAGGCCTAAGTATCATCTGTCTTTGAATGATATAGGGAGGAACTTGCGTGAATCCCTCCCTATAGCATCAGCGGCTAAGTTGTTTTAGGCCAAACATTTCCGCCAGAATGTTGGGCCTAAATATCACAACTCTTCCAAATATTAGACAGTCAAAACGTACTTCCATATATATACCTGGTTTGGAACAATTGTATAGGTCTCCTGGTTGGCCATTGATGGTCAATGCATCGGACTTATTAGGTTCGCCTCCATTTGCAAGTGCAGTTTGAATATTTTCCATCACATCTCCCTTGTACCAAGATGCTACATGTACGTATATATATATACACAGATATAAATGAGCATACATATATATATATATATGGAATTAATGCTTTGAAATCAACCGCTTATATATATAATGAGCTAGCTAGATTGGTATTGTAAAGATGGAGCATATATATATGTGTGTGTGTGGGTCCTTACATAGAACAATGGGAAATTCTGCATAAGGCTTTGGAAATGGGTAGTTGGTGCCTATTTTGGGGTGAATAATGATGGGACCATGGACGGTGGCTGGTGACCAGTCACTGTGGGCATGCCACCATAGGGTTCCTTCCTCTGTTGAGAACATGATCTCATAGCTGAAATTTGCTCCTGGTTTAATGGGGCACTGTGTCACATACACCGGACCATCAGACCATGGGTTTCTAGGTTGTTTCACTCCATGCCTGCAGTTCATATATAAGGAATTCAGAGAGTTAATTCAATTATGTAACTACAAATATACCATATATATCATATTATATTATGAGGTAAAATAAAGTCAGACAAATTGAATTCATACTAGCAATGACACATGTAAATTGAAATGCTCACACACACGGACACATACAGAAAGAGGAAAGTTACCAGTGAATGGTGACGTTGTAGTTCCCTTGATTTTGAACATTAACTGTCAATCTATCACCTTTGTGGACATGCAGAGCTGGCCCCGGAAATAGGCCATTTACTGTCAAGATGTTCTTTGTGCTACACAGCCGCGTATACGATGTTTCTTTAAGCTACAAAGCAAACATATATAAGAAATTCATCATCGATCAAGTCCACAATTTCGAAGTAGAAAGAGCTGAAAATGCATGATATATCAAACCAACGCATGCTACTTCCAAAAACAAGCTAGCTTGCAAGTCATTGCTATATAGTCCTCAATAAATATATGTGTATATATGTGTGTGTATGTAAAATGCAAATTTTCAACGATAGAATATGGAAGCACACTCTATAAGTACTTACAACCCAGTCTATAGAAGGGATGTTACTCCTAGCCATGCAAAGGAGAAACATATTCAATAATAGCAAAAAGCCTAAAAACTCTATCTTGAAGCACTTCTTCAACTCAATCATCTTACTATGGAGAATGAAACTCCTTTTTCTTGCATGTGTATGTTACGATCATCTCACATTTATATAGAGTCTTAATAGGGAGTCTTTCAGACAATTTTGAACGGTGTGAGATGACTGAGACATGGCCCCACCATGACCTCATGGCTGGGACCACCATGACATCTTGGTGTTGCAATTTTTGGTTTTGTGAGCTTTTGTTCCTTGTTCTGACCCATGGGCATTGTAAATACCCGAGTTGTGGGCTGCTTTTTTAGCCTCTATACATTTGCTTAACCTTTCAATAGTAATAATAATAATAAATCTTAAATTATTCTTTATTTTTTAATTTTTTTTCAGATATCCTAAGACTTTATACTAAAGCTTAAGGTGATCTACACGTAAAATGCTGAAAATAGAGGATTTCCTGATGCTATGATTCTTATTGTAACGTGAAAAAGAAAAACAATTTTATATGAATATGTGACGGTGTAATCACTCGCAAATCCGGGGAAGAAGCTATCAAGTGATTCTCAAAATCTTAGTTTGGTCAACTAATTTAGCTAATAGCAGGAATATTATTGCTAGTAGCTGTCGTTTTGTGTGTATATATATATATATTAACATTCCTAATATATATGAAGTCAACACCTCCTTAAAAATCAATTTCTGAACGTGAGAGCGTGAGATTGATCTTTCTGTTGACATCTGCCGGTATGATGTTGCATGTTTTTAGTAAGCAACCTGTTACCGAAAAGAAAATTGAAGTTTCATTCTCTGTTATTCTTTTTCTTTTTTTCTTTGTGGTGTTATAAAATTTAAATTTTGATTTAAAAGTTTTGGAGTTACAGTTTGCAATTTGGAGCTAGGTTTCTTCTAATATAAATATATTAGTGAATAATTTTGGTTTTAGATTCTAAAAGATACTTAAAAAGCTATATCAGACACGTTGGCTTACTAATTTTAACAAATTAGAAGAGAAAATAATTTTCTAGAATTTTGATTTTAATGCTATTTGTAGAACTAAATATTCTTTAATATGTGAGTGCCTTACAGTCAGTCACTTTTAAGTAACACCCTTCATTTAAAATTTGAGTTCTCCATATTCTAATTACTTTCTAATCTTTAATTTTTTTAAAAAATTCAAAACACTTTTTTGCTACCATTTCCAAATCACAAAAACAACAGTGTACAAATTTTTTTTTGAAAAAAGGCTCCAACAGAATACATACAACCGTTTACTTTATATTTTGCTAAAACATTGTCACTATGGAGTAAGAGCCACGGCGTCCACAATATATGAATGTATAAGAAACAAAAAAACAAAGGCCAATTTTGATATCAGTTTAATAATACAAAAAATATGACACACGTTAACTATGTTGATTAAAATATGATCTTAATAGCGTACAATGATGAAATAATATGTATTTAGGCTTGGATGGGACAAGTTTTGATCATTTGAGTTTATATATTTATTTATTTATTTACTTTTTCGACCATTGGAGGAGCTCGCGGGGCAGCGGCCCGGGTGTTGAGTTTATTTATTTATTTATTTAACCGTGGGGGAGGGAGGGTAAGTGCAGAAAATACCCCTTAAGTATATTCTGCATAACACTTTTACCTCATATTTGAAAAAGTGTACAATAAACACCTCTAATCTTTTGAATTTGTGTAAAATTATCCCTCTGTCAGAAATTTGATATAAATTATTACTGTAATACCCATTTTGCCCTTTTATTCTTCCGAAAATGCCTATTAAGCTGTGCCATTTTACAATTTAGCCTTCAATTATATATTAATATTTATAAACAAATTGTATAATAATGAAGGTGAAAGAGGTGCCGGAATGTGTAGAGATCGCCGGACCAATTCTGTAGCCATGGCTCTCTCTCATCTCAAGTTGTCACTTCGCATCCGTTTCACCCCGGAGTCAAGACCATGGCTCTCTCTCATCTCAAGACCACAGCTTGTTGGCCAGAGACTATCGCAGCGTCGAACACCGGAGAAAAACCCGGGTTGATCTTAACCGACATTTTATCGTCCGCCATGAACCCATTGTCGATAGAGTCAACGATGAGGACGCGATCAACAACTACCTCGAGGAACTAGCGGTGTCGACGCTCAGCTTCAACAAGCCGTTGTGGGAAATACACCTGTTGATGGCCCACAATCATCTCTGTCAACGGTGGAGGCGCCGCCACCCCCACTATCCCCAAACCCTCAATCGGGCAATAGAAATCAACGGAGACAGTGTTAGATTTTGTTTAAACCGGATTTGACTGTCACTAAAGACCTATTTTCTTGTGTGATAGTGTCAGATTTTGTTTAAACTGGGAATGAGAGTCTTGTGGGATTCTTTGCCAAAGTTCTTAGAACCTCTTCGAATGTTTTGAAATGATTAGTTTAGGTTGCATGGACCTCATTTGACTTGCTTGGAGTCAAATTTCCCTTCTTATTTGTAAATTAACCATTTTGCCCTTGATTAATAGATTTTGCCCGTTTGGTTCTCGTTTGCTCTTTCGTCTACCTTGAGTTCCGTGACTTCATGGAAGGCCACATTGGTGTCTTAGGGATGATTTATATCCCTAGAGACTTTGATTTATCTTCCGCTTCCACATTTTGGATCCATTATCGGGTCAACTTTCAGGTCATCACTAACGTACCGGGTTGTAAAACTTAGGCCGTCACAAGTGGTATTAGAGCTCCTAGGTTTGAATACCTTGGACGATGGGTTTTGGGTGTATTTCATGCTTTTGTTGATTTGCTTTAATATGGTCACATGCTTTTTGATAACATGTTTATGTGCTATATGTGGTATGCCGTTTGTTTAGTAAGATTGTATTCTAATGTCAAGAGCATGACATATGATGTATACTAGATTAGATTTGTATATGCATAACTGTGTTGTATTTTTTGGCATGACTTGGGATTAGTCATAGGATATCTGAGTTGAGGTTGATAGCGATTGTCGGCAAGGTTTCGTAGTAGTTTAGGTCGTTGTTGGCCTAACATTGGCTTTGGATAGGTGGATAGTTACCTTTTGTTTAGGCTCTCGTGAGGTGAGTCATTAGGCATTGTCGTAGTGCTGGATTTGTTGGTTTTGGGCCATGATGAGGTTATAGACCTCTTAGGATCCTTGGTTGTTCGAGATGATTCCTCTGGGATTGCAATTTTTGTAGGCGGGTACGTTTGTGGGCGAATGCATAGCACTGTCATGCTACCGTACTGGCTAGCTACAAGTGCAGTTTGGATGGAATCAATGTTGGTTTTGTTTTGATAGGCATAGTCCTTTTGATCAATGATGATGATGGTTGTTTTGGGGATCAGTCGTAGTAATTGATTTGGTTGTTGTTAGTATGACTATAGTTGCCATTTTCTTTGAGTTCTCTTACGTGATGACGCTTTTAGGATTAAGTCGATTGATTGATATTTCGGGCAGAGAGAGCATTGCATTGTTAGTGTCACTTATAGTGTCACCTCTAGATTCGAAGATGGATTGTTAGAGTCTTACCATTGTGGTAAAGACTCATGTTTGTTTTAAGACAGGTTGTTGTCGCATTGGTTTTTGGAGTCGGTTTATGGCTAGGACTGGTCTCTCCTTTTACCTAGACACTCTAAGATACGATGTCCATAGGGTTCATTGTTGCATCGTTTTATTTTCTGTAGTTTTGTTTACTACCATGTTAGTAGTATGATTTATGATATTGCAATACATGAGTAGGTGGAGGTGTGTCCACATTTGCTTTCTTGTTGTGTAGCATTAACATGCCTTATTTATATGCTTAGAGATACCATGTTGTTACTTGTGCTTTAATGACATGATTTTGTGCTTATGTGGAGACGTGCCGTATGTACCCTTGATTTTATCTATGTGAGTAGATTTACTTACTCGGTAGTTGCATTTCCTTGTTTTATGCATGACTTCCATGTTTAGTTTTCCCTTTTTGTTTCCCTCGGTCACATGTAGTGTGTATGCCGGTTTCCACAATGGTTTCGTTGTGAAATTCCTTGTAGAGGAGTTATCACATTTGTTTTGTCTTGAGCTATCCACTTCCCTAAGGTGGGAAGAAGGCTCTCTTTTCATGTTTGTCGTGTTGACACTTATGGGAGAATAGGGTTTCTCCTCTTTTTCTTGGTTCATGTTTAGGACTTCACAAGGAGTGAGTCTCTTATCTTCGTCGCCTTGTGCACGATTTTAAGGTTGGTCAGTCCATAAGGATCACCATTGTTGTCTTGAGTTCTTGGTGAGGATTTGATGGATTTTGGTCGACTTACTCCCATGTAGGGGCCTAAGTCTTTGACCTTATTATCTTTCATTTCAGAGATGGAGTCGTGGTGTTGTCCTTCTTAGGATTGGTGGTTCCTTTCCTTCGTGTCTTCCCTTAGGGAATTTTTGTTGTGGTTGTTGACGGAGTTATGATGCTCAGAGTGAGTTAATTAGTGTGAGATCATTTTACGAGGACTTGTGTCCATTTGATTAAGGATTTGGTTGACTCATTGTGTGAGTTTGACGCTGTTTAAGGATGTCTTTTAGACATTTGCTTTGGTTTTGGAGACCTGGATATGGTTGACTCTTAGGAGAAGTTTTGGAGGATCGCTGTTGGATATGGCTTGTTTATAGAGTTTTCTCGTCCTAGTTATGACTAGGCGTGGTCTTGAGGAATCTTCAGTGGTTGTTTATGGATGGAAATTGAGCAATTTTGATTTAGCTTGGTGATACCAAGCACGGTTTTGAGAGATTCGTTTTATGACCTTGGTTGTCGGGATTTTAATGTATGTGCCACGTGGTAGACTTGTTTTTCGAGGATTTAGTTATCCATGATAAGGATATGGATACGATGTTTGATTACGGTGTAATCTTATAGTTGATTTGTTTCAGGGAGATATGTAGGACTTTCGATGAAATGTCTTGTTATGAGGTTCGTTTTGATTTTTGGAGGTGTTGATTTACTTGTCAGGCTTTGGATTCTTGATTAATGTTGTTAATAGGAGTATTTTGCGACGTAGGAGTTGTTGGTTTC